TGTAAGCAACTGATGAGAAGCTAACGAAATAAATGATGGTAACATGTTATGCTGCACAACCCACTGTTGTTCTTGCTTTATTCAAATTCATACAGGGGAATAAATGTATGAGATATGGGATAGAGTGAATTGAGTCCATACTGTACACTATAAATCTCCTATCTTAATCTTATTTCACATTTTGTATACAATTTTATTGATTAATACACCAATTTTTATCGTCTTCGATTGTAAAATATACTTAGTTGCAGAAATTTTATTATTGAAAAATAATAGAATTCTAGTATACTTTTGTTTTTTTTTTGATTGGTTATTTGATGATGATAACCCATAGATTGGGGTAGACGAGGTATGACATGTACAACTTGAAATCATCAATTTAACATCTGTACGACTCCAACCAATCAGACAACAATTTCCAACACGCTATAAGCATTAACAAACATCCCAAGAATTAATTGATAATGAACTACTCATCTGATCAATCTTAGCTTCCTCGAAATTAAACAGTAAGATATTCACTGTGTAGCAGCAGAAATGTTCACTTGGCAAATAACTTACCTTTTTATTACTATTTTATTTCCTTACATTCTTAATGGAACATACGGCTTCAAGCTAGAGATTTGAAGTTTCAGTAGCAGTGGTGTTTATTTTTATGGGGTGGGATTGCTAGTCTCATGTCCAACCTTTTCTCTTTACCGATCTTACCACTGGCTTAGCGAGGTGTAGGACTGCATCGACTGGGGAACGAACCCCAGGCCACATGCGTGGTTGGCGAGCATTCTACCACTGTACCACCGACACATCTCTAGACGTGACATACAGAGATGGTAAAATCTAGAAATTTTACATTAAAACCTTCATTTGTACAAATTCTTCGTATTCTGCCTCTTTTGACTTCCTTCCGTGTCTTCTATGTTACTTCCCAAGGATCCTTCATTTCTTCTCATCGTAACGTAATCTGTCGTTCCACTCACTATTCAAGATTCTTGTAGACGAAATCACCTACACTCAATATTCTACTGATAGATTGTTGTGAGCAGTACACGCACGACAGTATGATATGATTTGATGTGGTTCATTGCCCTTAGCATTCGAATTTCAGTCAATGAACAAAAAGTTCAAATCCAGCTGCACCTACTTCAACTTTAGCAACTGATTAGTGTTATTTGACTTGACATAATAAGTTTTGAATGTACATTAGAGCAAGAGAATCTACTCTGAGTAACTGAGGTCTAACTATATTATGATGGACTTATCAAAGACATTGAGGCAGAATTAAAAAGCATATAGCAATGAAGGTTTCCAGGTAGATACTCGGATTTAATACCAAGCATAAATAGTTTCACAATAAACTAACGAAATCTTTTTTATTTTCCTTTACGTTCCCAGTGTGGAACATAGGGATTCAACCTAGAGGCTCGAAGTTTCAGTAGCTGTGGTTTTATTTTACGGGTTCAGGTTGCTAGCCTCATGCCCAACCTTCCCTCTTTACAAGCTTCATTACTGGCTTAGCGAGGTAAAGGAGTGCGTCGGCCGGGGATCGAACCCCGGTAGGCTAGCGTCCTAACCTCTATGCCACTGACGCACGTTAGTTTGTTAGTGCAACGTTAATACATTTGAAATTGATTATAGGGGCAAATCTAATTGTGACACTCTACTACTGTTCAGGTAGCGAATTATTTCAAAGCAAAGTTGACAGACAATCAGATTTTTCAGCGACGCACATACAAATACTGAATTTATTATGGAATATGAAAATGATGGAAAGTTCAATTTCCTTGAGATTGCCATGCAACGCCTAGAAAATGGTAGTCTCCAGAGGTCAATTTACCGAAAGCTTACATGGAATGGACAATACTTACATTTTAATGGTTTTTGTCCAATTAGCTTTAAACGAGCACTAGTCAAGACCCTACACTATAGAGCTAGGAGAATGTGCTCTGCAGAGGACGAATTTATGATTATCGAAAAGATGTTGAAAAACAACAGTTACCCCTAGAGATTCATTAACAAATATGGAAGATGTGAAGGCTCAAACATCAAACAAATCACAGTGAGAAAGAAGCCTACCTTCATTCAACTCGTTTTTAAAGGTGAAAATATTGCGTCAACTGTCAACAGAAGATTGAGTGCGTCACTAGCCAGAGCGTATCCTGCAGCTTAGTTGGTTCCCTTCCATCAGAAAACATGCTGCTTGGTGCAGTCAAAAGTCAAACAGATACCCTTCTCATGGTAACTCCAACTGTGTGTATACAAATTTACGTGTATCTGCGGGTGCATTTTTTTTTTTTGGTTACAGCTTGATGTAACACCGTATTTTCAGTACAAGTATGGAATTTTCAGCACGGATATCGGTAGCCCAAATTTTGCAGGCCGACCATAGATATCGGGTGTGCGTCGGCGGGGGATCGAACATCGGACCATGTGCATGGTCGGCGAGAGTCCTAACCACTGTGCCACCGACACACATTGGAAGAACAGAAAGAAGGGCATGCATACCTCTGATTTTCCGAACATGTACCGAAAGGCATAGGTCTTAAGGGAACAAACACTTGCAATAGTGCCATTTCCAGGCATCTCCTTGATATGCGTCATGAGGTGGAAATCGCAAAATCTCTAAAAATTATCAAGAGGCAAAAAAACTCAATTCTCCTCAAGTTTGCCGAAGTCTGAAACCCAATTTGTGTCCAGAAAGAAGCAGTTATCAGTCTTTTCTTGCCAACCTGGTAACTGAATGTCTTTATTCTCTTTTTCATCTGGTCACGTAATCTTTGGTTTTGAATCCACTCCCTTTGATACAGTGTAATTTTGCTTGTCTCTTGTTTTATGATTTGAGTTGAATTCAGTACATTTTTACAGAATTTATTAGTCACTCAGCCTCTTACGCATCTATTGTCTTTATTACGTAACTCCTTTACCATTGTATGCATACATTTGCTTTGTTTAAACTTGAACTGCCTATGTAAAAACTGTATAAGCATAATTTTCTGAGCACTGTCCACTAATTTTTGAACCTCGTATCAACTGACATCATGTAAAATTTGCAAGTATGTTAAGACTTTCCTGTACATAAACTTAATAATTTTACAAGACTGTAAGCAACTGATGAGAAGCTAACGAAATAAATGATGGTACCATATTATTCTGCACAACCCACTGTTGTTCTTGCTTTATTCAAATTCATACAGGGGAATAAATGTATGAGATATGGGATAGAGTGAATTGAGTCCATACTGTACACTATAAATCTCCTATCTTAATCTTATTTCACATTTTGTATACAATTTTATTGATTAATACACCAATTTTTATCGTCTTCGATTGTAAAATATACTTAGTTGCAGAAATTTTATTATTGAAAAATAATAGAATTCTAGTATACTTTTGTTTTTTTTTTGATTGGTTATTTGATGATGATAACCCATAGATTGGGGTAGACGAGGTATGACATGTACAACTTGAAATCATCAATTTAACATCTGTACGACTCCAACCAATCAGACAACAATTTCCAACACGCTATAAGCATTAACAAACATCCCAAGAATTAATTGATAATGAACTACTCATCTGATCAATCTTAGCTTCCTCGAAATTAAACAGTAAGATATTCACTGTGTAGCAGCAGAAATGTTCACTTGGCAAATAACTTACCTTTTTATTACTATTTTATTTCCTTACATTCTTAATGGAACATACGGCTTCAAGCTAGAGATTTGAAGTTTCAGTAGCAGTGGTGTTTATTTTTATGGGGTGGGATTGCTAGTCTCATGTCCAACCTTTTCTCTTTACCGATCTTACCACTGGCTTAGCGAGGTGTAGGACTGCATCGACTGGGGAACGAACCCCAGGCCACATGCGTGGTTGGCGAGCATTCTACCACTGTACCACCGACACATCTCTAGACGTGACATACAGAGATGGTAAAATCTAGAAATTTTACATTAAAACCTTCATTTGTACAAATTCTTCGTATTCTGCCTCTTTTGACTTCCTTCCGTGTCTTCTATGTTACTTCCCAAGGATCCTTCATTTCTTCTCATCGTAACGTAATCTGTCGTTCCACTCACTATTCAAGATTCTTGTAGACGAAATCACCTACACTCAATATTCTACTGATAGATTGTTGTGAGCAGTACACGCACGACAGTATGATATGATTTGATGTGGTTCATTGCCCTTAGCATTCGAATTTCAGTCAATGAACAAAAAGTTCAAATCCAGCTTCACCTACTTCAACTTTAGCAACTGATTAGTGTTATTTGACTTGACATAATAAGTTTTGAATGTACATTAGAGCAAGAGAATCTACTCTGAGTAACTGAGGTCTAACTATATTATGATGGACTTATCAAAGACATTGAGGCAGAATTAAAAAGCATATAGCAATGAAGGTTTCCAGGTAGATACTCGGATTTAATACCAAGCATAAATAGTTTCACAATAAACTAATGAAATCTTTTTTTATTCATTTACTTTCCTAGTTTAACATAGGGATTCAAGCTAGAACAATTTGAAGTTTCGGTAGCAGTGGTGTTTATTTTTTACAGGATGGGGTTGCTAGCCACATGCCCGACCTTCCCTTTTTACCAGTCTTATTACTGGCTTGGTGAGGTAAAGGAGTGTGTCGGCCGGGGAACGGACCCCGGACCACATGCGTGGTCGACGTACATTCTACCGTTGTGCCACCGACGCACCAAACTAACGAAATCACTGAACGATAATATACACATTTATGAAATAGGCGTTATGATCACACATACTATCTGAGCAGTAGAACTGAGATAAGTGGAATAAATGTTGAGCAGGATGAAACACCAGTTTCCAAATGAATGAAGCAGAGTGGTAACTTCATATGAAGTCCCTTGATTTAGGTATATCCAAACTGAAGATTCTTCTAACTCAACAAAAAGTGACAATTATGTCCTTACATCGACACTAACACCTTGTCACATTTTATTTGTTGGAGTGATATTAAAATGTAGAAAAAAAATATATTTCTGATGGAAAATGAATATTTTATCTTCAAAATAAAGAAAAATAGTATTATTTACAAAGATAGAAATGTATGATCCCATTATTATTAAATCCTCCTCCTCATGCCTGAGCGTATTCAATACGTAAACGACGACCCAATAAATGTGTAGCCACACCGAGTGTTTCTATTGCAGCCTTAAAATAAATAAATAGAAAATATATTAAAACAGTATTTTAGTGTTACATTTTTAGGTTTTAAATAGTACAAAATAAAAAAAGCGATTCCAACTTTAAGCGACAAGTTATTACTTCCTTTAGTTTAACGCTTCTAATTGTTCTGATTGGACACTAGTCAGTAACTAGGGTAATGTGTCTAGTCCCATCTTTCGTGCAAACTGAATTCTATCAGTCATGTTTGCAATGTGGCCACCATGCCACTAAGTGGCTCGCCATCATAGTGCACTGTGAATTGTTGGTATTAGATGGTTGGAGGCAATCGGCGAGAAGCCTTGCCCCACCTAGGTTTCATGCCAGCTGGCACTCGTCAGCAAGGCGTATCTGCAACCTGGAAGGAACTCAGATCCCTTCTGAGATTCGAACCCGCGTTACCCAGTGTTGCAGTCAGAAATGTTACCCCTGAGCTATTTAGGCTCGTGAGTGACCTCCTGTAGAACTGTATTGGATATATTTGTGTCATATATCTAAATTATGTGCATGAACTCATTCTCGGCAACATTTTATTTATTTATTCAAATATCAGAAGTGTCAAACAAAGGATGTTTACATATCTTTACCGTCCAAGGGCAATTGCCAAAGTCTGATTATTCAACAAAGATTCAGGGGTGGAGCACTTACTATACAGCTAAGCTCATTTTCATTGAGAAAACAAGATTTATGTTGTCCCGTAAGCACGCACATTATCCGAACGATAGTGTCACATCCCATTTTGTTTACCAAATTACAAGTATGTGTGATCACACGTACATAGGGAGGACACACATCGGTTTCTATAAGTCAGGGGGCTATAGAATATATTCCTAAATGGTTACAAGAATAATTAGAATCATCTGATACAATTAATCCTGGAAATGGATGTCCAACGTTATCTATCGCAGAGTACATCATAGAGAAGGGTCATAAAATTGATTTTAAAGGTATCTTTAAACCCATATATAAAACAGGTTTGGGTCAACCAAAAAAAAACACTTAAGTCTGTTTTACGTTTTCAAAAATTATTTGTCATTACTCTGAATCTGCCTTGATAATCCAATTTAAGAAACAAGGTTTATTTTATGTAATAATATTTTCAACCCCTCTTTTTTATCCCATTTTCTTGTCTCATTTTCCTACCTCTTATCTGTGATCATAATCTGTAAACATTTCGACCTATACTGATAAAAAAATTGTAATCCTTTCTGCTCTGTTGAATTTCACTGGAATACGAATAAGTGGAGTTATATTTAAATTATTCTCTATTAAAGTTTTCCAGATATCTGTCATTTGTAATTTCAATGAGCATGACCTTTACCGCTGGGAAATAATAATTGGAGACCGCCAAAAAAGAAGTGTCAATAAAAAATTTATTTCCACTACGAAATGATGTCATGTTTCAACCTGATCAGCCTTAACCCCTTCTCAGACTGGTCCTGTTGTAGTCAACATTTATCATGGAAGGCAATGACTCAGCATGCGTGTAACACATATCCCAACTATACTAAGCAATAAAGCCGTATAGATCAATCGGTTGAATTATGTTTCATGATTCAAGGAATTTTTGCCTAATCTCATTATTAATTAATACGGTGCAAACAAATGTGGATAAAAAGTTGTGGTTAACATATTTCAATGTTTTTATGATTTCTACCTCCAGCAGCTAAACGTCACAGCCGTAAAGACGGATGGAGAAAACGTCTGTGTGAAGTACACATGCCCTTTACTGGATAGCGGAATACAGAAGCTAAGACGAGTTATAAGGCATATTGAGATTTCGTCTAAATGTATCTTTCATTAAACTAACAATCTTAAATAAGCTAATAAACTTCACAGTCAAGCTGAACAAACATTGAAGCATACACAGTAAACGACTGGAAGATTGATTTCAAAAGTTAACTGACAGCACTACAATCCTCTGATGCAATCTAAGGTTCAATACAAAAGATATGCCTTCCAAGATCATCAAGTCATCATTCAGTATTCAGAGAATACTGAATATCGCCTTCCTCGATGGGCAATGTTGGATGACATAGGATCGATCAGGTTGGAAAAGAGGAGGCCAGTGGTGGTCAAATCAAAACATAGCTTCACCAGTCAATGAAATCCACAACAGTTAGTTCAAGCCAGTCACGTAGGGAGGTGTAAACTTCCTGACTGGTTGAGTTCCTCGAGATGGTAAAAACCAATGAAGACTGGACACAATTGGTGATATGACTCAAAATCCTCGTGCTCAATGGTTGACGCTGATGCATTCACTCTCTGTGATTTATAATATCCAATAAAACTCCACTCTTACTCTTCTTCACTAACACTCCTGTTTATAATCTCTCTTTACTCTCTTCTCTTGCTTTGTGTGGTACATGGAGTGTGGCAATTAGAACTGCTGCATATCTGTGTACAGTTCTACATTAAAACCAGTCAGGTATTCTCTGATCCCCAATAACATGTTTACAACCAGGTGAATGGCCAGAAAGTAGGAGTTCGGAAACACTAACATTAATAATTCAAGTACTGGCTGGTGTTTTAAAACGAAGAAGCGACAGTTATCCCGGTGAGCAAAACACCATATTACCATCCAATCCTAAATAAACAACTCTAACAGAAAGATTTTTTAAAAAAATAGTTAAGAAAGCTAAAACTAACCTTAGCTTTATCCAATGTATCAAATTCAATAAATGCAAATCCACGATGTCCACCTGTTGCCTTCTTCGGTAATCGAACATTGACAAGACCACCGATTGGTTGGAACAACTCGACTAATTCTTTTTGTGTAGCTTGGAACGGTACATTACGCACTATTACAATTTTATTCGGTTTTCGTAAGAATGACTTCTGAGCAGTGATTTTTCCTTCACCATGAATACCACTCTTCTCTGTGGTATTTTCAGACTGTGAACCATTATCGTCTTCTTCCTCCCCAGCCTTCTTCTCATCATCATCATAATCATCATCACTAGTCATTTTAACCTTTTTACTCTGACGGACGACAAGATCGTTGTCAGCATTCATTGTCTGCTGTTTAATTTTCTGTTTTTTATTCAAGTGTTGTTTGCTCTTAGCGGATGCTTTTGTTCCATTTAATTTGTCATTGCCTTTAGGCGGTGAATTCATTTCTACATCTTCAACCTCATGTTCTTCTTTCGTCTTCGGTGTATAATTATCAGTAGGAACTGAGGTGACCAATTCGAACTCTGCATCAGATTGTCTGTAAATGTATAATAAGATTTTAAAAAACTATATAAATAAATATCAAGGTAGATACGACTCTTACTCTAAAGTTGGCATAAAGTACATTCAGATAAAAAAACAGTACGTTGGCGGGGAAAACAGCCACTTACACTGTGACAGATAATAACCCTATGTATGGCGTCTTATTTTCTCAGCATAGACTTACTCAATTACATAGATTGATTTTTGAAGTTTACACAAATAAACTCTATTGCATTTGAATTGCACTAAAAATCCCAGTATATAGGCCTTAAAAGTGATTGCCTTTTTTTATATTCCTTCACGTTCCCCAGTAGAACATGGGGCTTCAAGCTAGAAGCTTGAAGTTTCTGTAGCAGTGTTTATTTTTACAGGATGGGGTTGCTAGCCTCATGCCCAACCTTTCCTCTTTACCAGTCTTACTACTGACTTAGCGAGGTGAAGGAGTGCCTCGGCCGGGATTCGAACCATGGACCATGTGCATGGTCAGCGAGTGTCCTAACCGCTGTGCCACCGACGCACAGGTAAATATTTCATATATGAACGTTACGACTATATTAAGATTTGCTGAAATGTAACTCGGTTTTAAATGTAACTCAGCAAACATTCATAGAAGAATGATGTAAACCGTATATGTGTGAAAGTAATTAATATTTTCTGATAGGCCAAATTTAGTTAGAAGTGTTCTTCAAACATGTAACTAAACAGTTTTAAGTTATACACCTACACTACTTTAAAAAATGGACTGGTGAAAATGACTTAACTAAGACTGTACAGAGAGATAACTGTAAGTGTACATTTACTCTCTCGCGCACGCGCTTTTTTAAAAAAAGCAAATAGAAGATAAGTAGGACAGACCTTGTTTAATTATTGTAGACTAAATTCATATGCATGATACAGTATTGAACAGTGTTTTCAATAATGTAGTTGTGACAATTTATTTAGAACAACACATTTAAGTGGACAATATTGTGTTTTCAATTAGATCCCATCAGGCTTAACTCTAATATACATAACTTTACAAATAAATATTCAAATATAAACCAATCACAGTGTTTTGTCAATAGGATAATAAGATTGTACAATTAGTCATAATAACAGTAATAATAATAATAATAATGGTTTTATCAATAATAAGGATGAAAAAGTGAGGCAATCTGTGATAACACAAATAATGAAAAACAGCATGATTCAACAAACAAATGTTCAGGTAGAAGTAGTCGATAAAGGTTAAGAAAAACAAATGAACCGATCAAGTAATGATAGATTGTAAGGGAAGTAAATGAAATACGTTTTTAATGAAGATGATAAGAGAGGGGTTGAAAATATAAGTATGGGGTGGTGGAGAAGTCGTCAGCTGGTTAGGTCTGAATAGGACAAGGGAGTGATAATGGTTGTACGAACTTCTTTTGAATGTGTAGTTTAGGTTTAATAGTTCGAATGCCTATCGCCCTAGTTATGTGCAGTAGACGAATACGAAGTCTATTGGAAAGATTCGATGGGATGCAATGAATTACCTTGAATGCTTTCGTTTTATCCAATACATGACCACTATCAAATAAATGTGACAAAATGAAGCTACGGATTGTTTTTGCCTGTCCTTTGCCAAACCACGATGGGAGATGTTCAGTGACACGTTGGCTAAACTGTCTAGTAGTATGCCCAACATAACTGTCACCGCGGGTGCAGTTGAATTGATAAATGCACATAGATGTGGTAAAACTATCTAGCTTATCCTTCGTTTGCGTCCCAATCATTCGTCGGCTAGAGAATGACAAACATAGATATGCTACGTAAAACGTTCTTCGTATACTCCTGGAAAGTCTCTGGAATAAAATCTCACTTGACAAGTCACCATTTAATTGTAACTTAATAAATAAAGGTTTTTTGCGTGCAGTCAGTCTCAGGTTTTCTCTCAAATGTTTTCATATGTTTCTTTATTAAACTAATCGGATAGCTCATCTCCGACAAGCAATCATGAATACATTCAAATTCCTTTTGTAAGTGGTCATCTGTACGTATCTTTCTTGCTCTGCTCGTAAGAGACTTAACAACATTTCTTCTATGTTTAATGAGCACGTAAATAAGGAAGTGTGTGTATTTCCCTGTAAATGCGTTTTGTCTATACACGCTTCTCCCAAGTGACCCGTCTTCTTGTTTACTTAGCAAGACCTCCAGAAAATACAGCTCATCGTATACCTCAATTTGAATTAAAGAGGTGTCCCTACTTCGCATTATATTTCGATTATGCTGCTTCCCCTGCTAACTTTCCTAGCTATTTTGTCATAGTTTAACGTTTAAGGTGACAAGTACATAGTTTGAATCCCGGCGCCATCAGTAACGAAGCCAAAATCAGACTCCTTAGACGGACGAGCAGCGAATGCCACAGGATTTGTCCTGTGGGTGCCGCCACTGATGATTATTACCAAACCAGTGAAAATTCTGCAGGAACACAAATATTATTCAAACCACTATGAACATTACTGTCAGGAACAGTATACAAAATCCGCCTGTAATCAGGAAACAATGCAGTTATTATTTATTTAAGCAGGTTAGGTGATGTGGTTAATCACTTATACTTTCAGTTATTGGATCTTGGGTTAGAGCCCGCTTATCCCCCCCCCCGCAAGCCTAGTACTTGAAAACTATGTTCCAGGCAACGGATCTATGAGTGATATAATGACCAACTGAATAAGTCAACCAACCCCACTATGCCTCCTTCTATTCGGTTAGGTGAAAGGTGCTACTGATGTTTGAATGGTGCTATTAATTTGGTGTAAACACGCACACACACACCAAAATGCATGTGCAAATAGTGTAGAAGAAAAATGAACTTTACACAAAAATGCATCCGTTCAATTCGTCACACATCAAAAAGCATACACCTATAAGTAAAGCACAGAAATGCAGATAACGAAGTAAAATAGGCGAGAGAAAAAAAGTAGTCAGATGAAAAATAATGAGAACTTTTAATGAATCTGTAAGACCACAAAGAGTGGAAACATCTAAACCATCGAATGCTAATAAAAAACACTTTTCTACATAAATCTGATGTTGCACAACTTAACAAAAGCGACTCACTCAGTTTTGATGACTTTTTCAACAGCAGCTCGTTTCTTATGAGAGATTTTTTTCGACTTTTCTTCTTTAGACAGCTTTTCTTCAGGTGCAGGTTTCAAAGCACCATCGGGTAACCATTGGACAAAGAGAACACTATCCCGAAACTGAGAAAAACATAATGACAGTAACAAGTACAAAACCCAATGAAAGATGTAATGGAGTAAATTGGAAGAAAACTGTGAACTATGAATCGAGTGGAATGTGTCATTTAACGGCTAACATATGTGGTAGATTCTTACACTGAAAACTAAGCACTAGTATTTGTTATAAGTTACCGGAAGAGATAAGTTTACAACAGAAAACTGATCTAAAAGCAGTTATTCCTAGTTCAATTAACAACTTTTTATCCCTTTACGTTTCCAGTGGAACACAGGGATTCAAGCTAAAACAATTTGAAGTTTCGGTAGCAGTGATGTTTATTTTTTACGGGATGGGGTTAATAGCCTCATGCCTAACCTTCCCTTTTTACCAGTCTTATTACTGGCTTAGCGAGGCAAAGGAGTGCGTTGGCCGGGGATCGAATCCCGGACCACCTGCGTAGTCAATTAAAAGTTGCCAACTATTGTGCGTAAAAACTCATTACAAATATACTAACGAAAATTTAATTGAACAACTCACTTCAACTGACTGACTAAAGATAACAAGATTAGATGAAAAGCTCCCATCTACCGCCAATACTCTATAAATGACTTATGTATTTGGCTACATAGAAGTCTTACTACATGATAAGAAGGCTATAGTGTAAAAAATACCCAATCTTTAAAAATCCGTTACTGCAAACGCCTGTTTAATAGTCATATCTTAAAAAATGAGTGGTCTGTAGAACACACTTGATTCTCAGTAAATATAACAACAGGTGGTCTGAGCTGAAGAGCCACAGTTAAATAAGTATGGTACACTTCATGGTTGGTGTCTGCGGAAGAGTAAGACAGAGATAGCGATTCAGTATACAAATGATCGTAGTAAAACGTATTAATCCACTTCTCTTCACCTGTTTATTTCAAACACAAACTTTGCACAATACAGCCACTAAGAGACGCACCACACAAAGATAATAAAACAACAGTAGAAGAGGAAGAGAAACAATTAATGAGGGATTATCTCACGAAACCAAGTAAGCATACTAATCAAGCGTATTCGAAAGTGTTTATTTCTCTGTATCACTGTCAGAAAGAGAAAAAAACAGGAAACTACAGCTAGTGCATCATTGATTTCTATTCTTAGCCGTATATGATCAAGGGAATAAACTCGTTAACTTAGAATATGCAAATGATATGATCCTTCTATAGGTGAAGACGCTGACAAGATGCAGAGTCGTCTGAACACCTGGAGCAGCAATCTGCGAATGTTTGGCATGCGATTCGCTCCCGTCAAATGTAAGATGATGCTATCGGTTTGGACCACATTGAATAGCGCCTAGCTTCAAGATAGGGAGTGAAGCGGCAGAGCATGTTGACCATTTCACTTATTTGAGAAGTTGCATCAGCCCGAATGGGTCGATCGCTGACGAAATCTCAGTACGGACACAGAAGACTTGTTTGGCATACACCAACTTACGCCTTCTTTGGTGTAGACGTGATATCCGGCTGTCGACTAAAGGGCATGTGTACTGCTCAGCAGTTCGCTCTGTCCTCCTTTATGGTTGTGAGAAATGGCCATTGAAAGTGGGAGACATGAAAAGCCTAGATGTCTTTGGTCATATGTACCTGCGTTCTATCTCCCGTGTTAGGTGGTATGATAGGGTGAGTAATATTGAGGTTAAACGTCGAGTGTTAGATAAGGAGGGAAATCAGTTGACGAGGTTGTCAAATTACATCGACTGAGATGGTTGGGACATGTGTTACCTATGCCTAGTCACCTTCCTCAACGGGCAATGTTCGATGACATAGGATCGATCACGTTGGAAAAGAGGAAGCCAGTGGTGGTCAAATCAAAACATAGCTTCACCAGTCAATGAAATCCACAACAGTTAGTTCAAGCCAGTCACGTAGGGAGGTGTAAACTTCCTGACTGGTTGAGTTCCTCGAGATGGTAAAAACCAATGAAGACTGGAGACAATCGGTGATATGGCTCAAAATCGTTCTCTATGGCTGACGCAGATGCATTCACTCTTTGTGATTGATCTGTCGTATCCAATAAAACTCTACTCTTCTTCCATATTACTATTCTTTTTGTCTCACTCACAATTCTGTTTATAATCTCTCTTCACCCTTTTCTCGTGCTTTGTGTGGTACATGGAGTGTGGCAGCTTGAACTTCTGCACATCCGTGTAAAGTTCGACGTTGAAACCAGTCAGTCAGTCAGCGATTAAATTTCGAGTTACTGAATGAGATGGTCTCTCGGACCCCACTAAGGGAGTCGTAATCCACCAACAGAATCTCTGTATGTAAATTGTGATACTGTCACTTTTTTGTCGCGACATTCCGTTATTATTCTCATTATTTCGTTTGGCATTTTTCGTTCACCACAACGTCGACAGGTTAATATAAATTATTACAAGTTGGACCAATATACCATTATGCTGGGTCTGATGAATGCATATGTAGACCAGTTTAAAGTCATCACAATCATATAACATCTAGTAGGTGAATTTATACACGAATATTGTGGTGTGCTTAGTTTTTTAGTCACACAATCAATTTTTCTATAGTTTCAAATATAGAAGAACCAAAGTTATTTACTCGGATATACATACAGACATATTAAAAGGGTTTTTAAATGATCAAGTCAGCAAACGAATGACTTGAACTCATTGATAGTTGATACAAGCAAACAAGGTGAACAAATTTTCTCAAACTCTCAACACTACAGGGACTAGTATCTGGACACCTTAGGCGTCGTAATCTACTTTCCAATGTCATTTGAAAAAACCCCTTATTTGGTATTCCGTATAGTAGTGGTAATACTCTAGTCTGAATGGATGCAATATGTTGACACATTCTGTATTTTGCAGTTAGTCATGTACTTAGTTAACCAAAGCAAAGCAGCTGTTACGTGTAACAATAAACTAGCTCAATAGTCTATCACTCAAAATGCAAAATGTAGGAATATTGACTAAATTTTCGTTAGTCAGACAAGTAACCAATCAAATTTCAGCACGTTGATTAGCACCCACAACTTGGCCTGTGTTGCTGCACTGTTAGTATCCACGATACTATTTGGATACTATTATTACTAAAAGTCCGGACCAGGAAACCTACTAGGAAATTTTCAACTGTCCATTATTCTTAATCTGTATCGTGAGGAGCACAGGCTCCTCATATCAGGTTTAGCAACTGAAAAGACTTTTAGAAAATATTAGAATGGATCTCTGAAAAACACTACTTTAAAGCATATACAAAAAAAAACAATTTACTTACCGGTTCATATGCAAGCGCTTTGTACATCAACCGAGCTTGTTGAGAATGAGTATACTCTACAATAGCAGTAATACCTAATGGAGGCACTAGGACACGTTTTAAGCCTGAACGAAGTGAAGCAGTATTTGGATCAGCGTCCACTGTACTTTTTGTATATTGTCTAAGTAAATCACGAACTTCATGCTCAGTTGTTCCAGCGGGTAAATTTTTAATTAAAAAGGCAGTTCCCGATAACTGGCGGATAGCCGATTGTGATTTTGATTCTAGGCGATTACGCTGACCAGAGGCTTCAGGAACAACAGGATGATTTTCAGTTCCATTTACATCACCATCATTTTGGTTTTCAAAAGCCTTTAGTCGTACACCATGAGATTGAAGAAACTCTTTCATTTCAGCAATTAATTGAGTCTCACCATGTGCCAGACGTACAGCGACTGATTTATTACCGGTTGGATCTAAAACTTGCTCCTTTAAAATAAAGACAAGCAACAAATTATTAATTAGCTGTTCTCGACATAAATCAAAAAGAGGTTTTCCTAAAGTTAGTGCAACGAAATACGACATATGCACGAAAAAGACAAACACTAACAAAATAGAGTTTTAAGAGGAAGTAAATATGTGGAACTGTAGATACAGTTGTTATAAAAATTAGATTGTAATATTTCAATATTTACACACCACCATCTAACTAATGAAAAATAATTGTTGAAACAAACGAGAAATATAACGCAATATAAGTTAAGCACAAGTCTACAGACAACGTAATGAAACACTATGAGGGTCGACTAAATTCATATACGCGGAATAGGATTCAACATCACAATAAACAGGTTCAAAAATCCAAATGTCACCATATATGACTTAGCCAGTTCCGTTCAAGCCCACCAACACCTACATTTCTCAAGCTGGACATTTAAGTTATCTCATTCACTTTAGTGTATTACATAACACAGTTTAGTATATAACCCCGCACAAGATAGCAAGTGATGTGACTTTTTAAGATGTTCGACAAATAAAAGATAACAGAGATTGATTAAACTGTACTTATTCTCCTAGATAAACCAATGCCTTGTTATTAGATGGTTGGAGGCAATCGGCAGGAAGCCTTGCCTCACCTAGGTTTCATATTAGTTGACAAGGCGTATCTGCAACCTTGGCAGAACTCATGTACTTCATTTAAGTGTCATCCAGTGCTGCAGTGAGTGATGTTACTACTGAGTTATTTGGGTTGGCAATTGACCTCCTGTAGCACAGTCCTGGATGGGACGCTAGTTAGTAACTAGTATCATTTAATAACAACAATTCAGAGTGCACCGTGATGGCTAGCCACCTAGGATGATCGCCACATTGCAAACTTGACTGAGGGGATACAGTCTACACCAAACAAAGGATTAGACGCAAGACACTAGTTACTAACTAGTGTCCAATCAAAGAAACCAATGCCTTGAAAGTAATATAAAGTATTGTTGTAAAATAATTCACCAAGTATACCATTTATTTGCATTTATTTACAACAAGTTTACAGTACAGGTTATTTTTGCTGAGAACACTACTTTACTCAACTAAGTCATTTAGAATAAATGAATGATTTTTTTTCTCCATCTACTGTGAACCACTTCATAATACAGTATTATAAAGCTAAAATTCTGAAGGACTTCTTTTGAGAGATAAATCATGAACTGTCAATTGTCCTACGTTTATCCCTCTTAGCCAAAAAAAGTTAAAAATCAGTTTTGTTTAGCTATTTGTAACGCCAAGAAGACGTCTCGTCACTCAATAGGAATTGGGTTCAAACCGCAAATACGTTCGTGTCAACAAACATTCGGCTAAACATTATGCCGTTAGAAGTTGTATACTTCCAAGCTGACCTCTCCCACATCTTATACATACTGGCGCAATAAAAAGTAACTAGTGATGTGATAATACGTGCATCGGGAACTACAAAAAACATTAGATCACAGACGATGACAAAATCAACTAATAGGAGTTTTGAATCCTTTTGCCTCAAAAATCATTATGAAAATATGTAAAATTAATTAGTGTAGAGATATTTTATCAACTGTCAACGAATGTGAACCTTAATCCAGCCATAGACATAAGGAGACAGAGAGTAGTAGTATAAAAAGTAGAAACACAGTAGATGTGACTAATTATTAACTGATTAAACCTGAAAAGGAGTGCATAAGAGTGAACCGAGACACAGCGTATTGGTTTCTCAAGACTTAATGAATTGATCCGAACTGATAACAGAGAAATGTTCCAGGTATTCGATAGCAATTGCTTCATGACAGCTATCAAGTAAATTTGATATTTCCGGTAACTGACGCAAAGCACTTGAAATCATCACTCAGAAATAAATGTGAGAATAGAGCCTAACCATGGTTAATCCGAATTTCGCAGCCAAATAAGTAGCAACAGCATCTGGTCGAATAAATAGTGCATTCCAGTTGTGTCCAACGTTTGAGCTCTTTTTAAGCTCCTCAAAGCGTTCACTTTTGAAACTCGATTGCAACATCTTTGGTGGTTCAGTCGGATTTTCACTTTCTTGGACGCTATCTGTAGATTTCTTAGCTGTATGCTGAGATTCTAAAGGTTCTTGACCAGGAATGATATGAAGCAGTCTATCCTAAAAGAGTAAAGCAATTAAAACTAGTTATAATAATGAAAAGGTAACAAATGTAAAAGCTGCTTAATTATAATGAAATGACAAATAAAATTGACGTAGAAGTTTATGAATACAATGAGTTGAAACTTAAGTGAGGAAATCACCACTAACTAACATCCGAACAACATTCTAGGAGAAAAATTAAGTGTATAAAATGAAAGCCTTCTATTTCCAGAAACTCTAAGGGTTGTATTTGTTATCTGTTGCATGGCAAGAACCATCACCGAAAAACAACCGAAACTTTCTATGGCTATCCTGCATACGGCTAAAAGCTACGTCGGTGGTTTATTGGTAGAATGCTTCCCAACCACAATGGTCATTAGTGTTCAATTTCTAGTCAACGCATTCCAAAACGTCGCCTAGTTTATTGGCCAATATTAGGTCCGGAAACAGGAAAGGTTGGATGTGAGGCTAATAATCCTACTCCGTAAAAACATCACGGCCACAAAACTTCAAAGCTTGAATAACTTTGTCCCATCCAGAATGCAAAGTAATAAAAAGTTACTTCCAAGAGTTAAAAGCCATACTGTTGCAATTGTCATTTTTTACGTAATGTAAATTGCACCTGATAAATAACGCTACTGATACTGAAGATAAATTAACTTTCACCTTGGAATCGCAAACTAATCTGCATAACAATTAGTCCCCTCTCCTAAGCATGCAAATAACTCGGGATTCTGATGCATACAGGGATATCTCGATGCAAGTTTACTGATTCCTCTCCTGAGGAAGTCCTACCCACTGCCTTCACGTGGCGGAGGTGTTTCTCACCAAAGTGAGAGGGCGAAAGCGGATGCCCGGCGCTCTTCACCGGGTTGACTGTCCTGGATGTCTGGCCCCATTCAAAAAGGCGTATGAACCGAACTCCGGTCACCGGCTACCAATGGATAGTGGACTCCCTACTCCACTCCTACTGCCTTGTAGGTCACACTTGGTTGTGTAAAGGCTAGAGCTGCACTCTCAAACAAAAGGCCGAGCGATTCTGGGGACATCACTCGTACCAAATTCCCATGAAACTTCATGAACTCTCCTACAAACGATTCGAGATGTTCATGAAGCCGGTTCATCCTCCCGTAGGAGATAGCCGAAATAAAGTAAAGTAAGTTATATGATTGTTAGCAAGATTACTGTTGTGTATAAACACGATAGAGTCTCTTCACGATTCAAGACTTTTGTATGAGCAAGAAAACTAGTTGAATATCACATTTAATACATCAATGCTGGACTTTACTTGGATTGCTTCATAAAGTAACTTATTAGAGACTCACAATCTAACAAAACTTTTAGAGGCTTGTTCCACTTAGGAATACACCTGTCGAAGGATCTAATACACCAATGATGAGGGTTGAGATTTAATTGAGATTAGACTTCTTAGATGATTATCTTATAATGAAGACCATACAAGAGTAATGTTGTAATTCGTCTACCAGGCTATCAGGCAAAGTTCGCATTGGATGTTAACAAACATAGATCACCGTTCACACATATATGTCCGGAAAAAGCATATGGCCATTTCTTAGAACTTGCTTCCAGTTACACGACGATGAACTTCCGCTACTTTGTTGAGGATTTGCACAGTACTCAAGATACCGAGCGATAGAATATGTTCCATAATACATTATTTACACAATAACATCATCCTCAAGAATTTTGAAGACTTATTAATGTACAAAACACGAGTTTGATATGTTGGTGAAGTGTTAATAATCTTGTGAAAATATTCCAACTTTGAAGAACAGTGATTGTATAACGTTGATGGTGGACAAAGGACATCTGTGATGGGCGTGACTACATCAGTCCGTGACATTTCTTATCAAGCAATAAATTCATGAAATATGCCACAAAGTGGAGAAACTTTTAACCATTGTCGTGTCCAAAAATCTCATTTCAGGAGACATGCATGAAGTAAACTGCATTATACCAGCACTGAGATATGAAAGACTGGTACAGAAGTCGTTATAATCCTGTCTGTTATGAAGAATACATTGCTGGACTATTACTTAGTCGAGATTCCTTTCGTTAAACCTCAGTGACCAGTAGGTATGTTGGCATTCGACTTCCTTGTCCTTATTCTCAACTCTGAATCTGGAACAGCGATCAATATGCAGTATCTGAAGTTCGCTAGAGTTCAGTACATATGACCGAATTTCCAACAATATTGTTGTCGACATAATCTATTCATATTGATTTAAAAAACCTTTTTTCTACAAGACAAGTTTTATGTTCCAAGGGAATAGCTCAAACAACTGCCCAGATAAGAACACTATACGACTATACATGACTTGTTGTTGAGGAACATTGGCAAACTAGAACCTGGACAGACTTACTCTTAAGTATAGCCTGGATACATGATTCAACAAAAAACAATGTGAATCGCAAGGACTAATATCCGAAGGCCATTAGTGGAATTTTAGAGACGTCAGTATGTACCATAAACATATACGACAATAATGCTTATCACTGGTGGAAAATCCGAGATTGTGACTCATACAGCTCAGTTTAACAAAGAAAGAACGTTATTTTCTCACCATAAATTTAGTCTTGTCTAATGATTTGTAAGCTTTCACTGCATCAGAAGGGAAGAGAAATGTGACGAATGCGAACCCTTTGGACGTATGTGACCATGAGTCAAAGGCCAAGTGAATATCTGAAAGAGCACCTATACCAATAATATTATCTAAAGCAACTTACCGAATGGAGAAAACAGTTTCTCAAGGTCTTGCTCAGTGCACGTGTAGGACAAATTTCGGACAAAAAGTCGGCCTGTCTGCCAAAAAATAACAGTCATAGTCTCATTACCTCTAAAATGGCCGACATAATTTCCTCAGTTGTCTTCGTTGGCCAACTGGGTTTAGGTGGATTCTGATCATGAGTGTCTGGGCATTGCTTCTTCTTCGGAACATGCTTAAGAACTTTAACTGCTCTGCCACTGACCTCACCTTCCTTTTTCAGAGCTTCACTTAAATCACGGTCATTCCGAAAAAATACAATGCCCGTGCCTACAATAATGATCATTATTGTCAACTCGAGCTGACAAAAAGGTCATACCATTCTTTATCACTTTGAAATCTTTTATTCTTATTGGCATAAAAAACTTTTTTACATCTTTCTAGTCGGTATAGTGCAGGGAACTTATTTACTTACAATCCGAACTTCGCGACTAAGCCCCTTGATCTTGGCGACATGTGCGACACGCTTTTGACCCATAGTAGCGTAATCTCCAACTAAAGCGCACACCCTTCTCCGAAATTCAATTTCAGTGACCTCTAATAAACTTAATTATCCCTTTTAGTTTGCACCTGAATATTATGGAATTAACTTGTAAATTCGGGGAATTCCGACAGTGTGGATCCATTCTCCCCCCCCCCCACGCACGCACACACTTTAGCTGTTAAATAACGTGAGTGAACGAATAGCCCATTTTGTCTCAAGTGTATAATTTATTTCATCATGGTTCCTCTTCTCAGAATTCCATTCTTCAGTCCACCAGAAGAAAGATAAACTGGAAAAGTTTGTGGACAATGATATATTGAGGAAGAAAGGTGAAGTAATTGATAGATAAATCCAATAAAAGTTGGAATCAAATAGATGTATGTAAGACAGGGAAAATAAAATGAAATGAAAATAAACGAAGAAAGTCAAGAGGACAGCTATGGTGCTAACATCAACCCTTAGAATCGGAATGCTCCCCTAACAAATGTGTGCAGCCCATTCGAATCAGAGTAGTCATCCAGCCACATAATCCAAGCTTTCATCTGACGACGGACTAATTACGTCAGGCATGCGTAAGTCCATGAATAAAAACCCTTAAGAGGGAATGAGTTGAATGCATAACTGTAACTGCCCTATGACAAGTGGATTTTTTGGGTAGCTGAGTGCATGGGATAGGCCACTTGGCACGTATGGACTGAAAGAAATTCATGATTCCGTTTACAAATTACACACTTAGTCATCAACGGAACATTCCTTCATTCCTACCGATTAAGATGAGAGCAGAAATGATGAACACATCGGTTATTTGAAGACACCAACATGTAGTATGTTACTGTTATTTCCTCAGGTTCCGATTGGGGCACAGGGCTTCAACTGTACATCCTAATTCTGTCACGTTTTCTTCAGCCCTCATCAACTTGCCTCACTATTGTCCATAAGATTTCATCCATTGTATATCACCTTCGGACGCCCAAGTCGCTGTTTTCTACCCCGCTTCCTTTCAAGGGCCTGGCGCGCGCGACATCAGCCGGTGGCGTGCGTCCAATCCGTCTCTATTTTCTTCGGCATATTTGTTGAGCAACACTTCCTCCATTGGTTCGTTTCCAGAGCACCTTGTTGCTGATTCTTCTTGGCCTGCAATTTAATCTTCAGCACGAAGCGAAGGCAGTTGTTGAAGAGTCTGGATCCTGCTGAAAATGCTTACCGTGACGCGAACGCCAAGTTTCAGACCCATATGTAAGGGCCGACTTGGTATTAGTGTTGAAGATCTGAATCTCGTTCCTCATGTTGAGTGCAGCAGATTTCCAAACTGATTTCACAGTGAAGAAAGTTCACCTCACCTTTCCGATTCTGATTTTGGTACCACTGTAGTTGAAACGACGCTGCCTTGAGAATTGAAGGTAGTGAACTATTTAGGACTTATTCCGCTGACAGCCATTAGTGCTTGCTGTTATTGTCGCTTGACTACGACCTCGGTGACCCGTATGAAAATCAGGCTACCTATACTTCCACCTACATATTGTATCTAATTTATCATATTTCACTTCTATTTAGTAAAACATGACGTCAAATCGTGTCTCGCATTCTCCGGAGTTCATAAAACGTTCAAAACCAAGTGACTTCTAACATTCTGAGAAAGCCAAGAAAAAGCATCATGGAGGATGAGAGCATGCTCTAAGATAGACACCTTTATAGTGAGCTACTGTTTCTGTTATCGCCAGTACAAGCTGCTGCTCTCTTCCCAGTAAGATCATGCATCTGCGATCTCTCCTATCATCTGATACTTATCACAACACGGCTCTAATTACACCACAAGAAACATGGCTGCAGGAGCTCTATGATGATAATCTGGGATCAATAAATGGTTTCATATTATTCAGACAACACCGACTTTGTTCCAAAAAGAAATCCAGAGAAGTAGTCGCGACTTTTATTCATTCTCAGAGGTCGATTACGAGCAATGTATGTTTTAAATTTTAGTGTCTGAGGGTGTTAACATTCACGGATAGTACGAAGTATGCTAACGCAAGATCTAATACCCACAACTTCTATCGTATTCGTTCCACATGGACCAAAGGCAAAGCAAAACAACAGAATTAACCATATAAACTACGAGTCATATTTCGGGGCCGAACCGGAGTGTGAGGATGACTGCCTAACTAGCTAGGCATCTTGCACGAACGAACGAACGTGACACGATAGCATGCCAAATGGAGTGGATGCTTGATCGTAAGCTTCCGGCTAAAAGGTCAACTTGAGCAGTAATGGTCAGCATCCGATGTTCAGTGACGAATGCTGTGGCTAATAATTTTGGGGATTTACCAACCGCCACAACATTCTCGAGTGACTTTATTCATTGTACTTGCTGTCAAATGTTGTCCTAAATACTTTTCAAAAAATAAATACGTTTCCATGCCAAACACTTATGTTACTTCTGGCTATGCCATATAGGATCTATCTGATTTTGCCGATGAATTCGTTTTATTTGATGCTTCCCATCTTCTTATTTTTTGTTTTTGATTATAGCTTGATTCCGCACAGTATTTTTTCGTGCAAGTTTGGAATTTAAGCATGGATATCGGTAGCCCAAATTTAGCAGGCCAACCATTGATATCAGGTGTGCGTCGGCCGGGGATCGGAGCCTGGACCATGTGTATGGTCGGCGAGAGTCCTAACCGCTGTGCCACCGAAGTACAATAGTCAGTAGTCACTGGTGACTTGATTTACTGTGACTATTCCCTCCTTGAATGACTTGACCACTTGAATATTGTCAACTTTGCCACTCAACTTGACAAAACACTGAATTTAGTGTTTACAAATGATGTTGGCATGCAAACGTGCTCCAATTATGAACTCAGATCATTGTGTTATTCGAGTGTTGCCCAAAATATACAGCGGGTCACACCCAAGTGTCTTCTAAAACCTTTCCGAAAAGGCAACAGAGATGCTTCTTACAGGACAATATACATAAAATTAGAAACATGCTGAGTGTCGCTAAATGGGCACCATTTGCTGAGCGCACACTGAATGATACATTCACAAATATTACGGATTGTCTTAAATTCTGTCTTGACATATGCTGTCCTAAACGGACTGTATTTAAAAGGCTTGAGAGTTTCTCTTCTAATCTCAACAGCCTACGAAGAGAATAAGAGCGGCCGTACAAGTCCAATAACAAATCTGGCCTAAAAATTATAAACATCCTGATTAAACCAGAAATCCAAAGGTTGAACGCCTTTTATATCGAAAGACTCTTGTCTTTTAAAACTCTTGGAAACGTTTGGGAACTTTTCAGTGGAACTACAGTTTGTGGTGGGCAAACGATTAGTGTCCCTTCTGTTGATGTAAATACTCTCAAATAATCCTTCAAACAACCTCCTAATGAAGCGTTCGTCCCCAATTCAACAAATAACAAGGGCAGTGACTTTCATGGTCTTCACACTTGATGCTCTTAAGTGTTTTAAATCCCTAAAACATATTCACTACTTCTGTCAATGGACGTGAACATTGAACGTTTGTTTATTGGAACTGGCAGCCATTGGTGGGCAACTCGAAGGCGCGAATAGTTCGATCGCTTGCAAGTTGAATGAAGACAGGAACAAAGACGAATAAAAGTACTTTATAACTTCATTTGTACTTAACATTCGTTTGTAGACTTTGTATTTTGCCTCGCTTTAATTGCCAAACAATATAATTTCGTTCAAGGAATACAAGTGTTTTGGATTTAAAGTTGAGACACATACATAGTATTTATCGGTTCAGAACGAAAACGTCTTCATTACAATAGGAACTTAGGGCTGAGTTCCTTGACAACTTCCTTTTCCGGTTATGTTGTACCTGCTGCGTGGAAAGGCATTAAAATCATCCCTGTACCCAAATTAGTTTCTGGTAATAATGTTAGATTTACACCTATTGCAGTCACCTCTCCTTTTTGAAATTAATAGAGAAATTACTCTCGCTTAACCTTGTGGACTATTTAAAATGCTTTGATGATCCCAAACAGTTTGCTTATAGTCAGGGCAGGAGTACTTTGGATGCTGCCGCTGTATTACACGATGACATTGCCACCTCCTTAGAAAAAGGGGCCAAACATGTACGTCGCGCCTTCCTCGAATAGACATTTGCCTTTTACTCAGTACCCAGTTTCCCTTTGTAAAATTTTCTTTCCCTGATGCAAACTTAGTCCAGGGCTGTTAACTGGGTGCATTCTTACTTCTCAAGTATAATGCAGTATATTGTATATAAGGGTTGCTGAAGCTGGTGTTCTTCAGGGCGCTGTTCTCCCTCCTTTTCTTTTTTCCTCTCACATGACCTACCTCTTTCCAATGAAATCAGCTTCGTCAAATACGCTGATCACCTGAATGTTTCGCTTCCCGTCAAATCAAAACCTGACAGTTGCAAACTTTCTTTCGGACATCAGTCAGTGGTCCAAACTAAATGGTCTTTCGTTAAATCCCTCGAAATGCAAAACTGATGACTTCTCCTTCAGACATAAAAGTGACGTACACCGACTGGTGAATAAACACGACGCCCGCAGCATAGAGACTTTAACGGAAACTATGTTTAATGCCTTGGTGTAATTCTATCCTCTGACCTTACTTGATCATCCCATATTTTGTCGATCTCCTAGAAAATGTTCCGTCGAAGCTATTACATTAAGAGGTTAAAACAATCTGGAATCACCCGATCTCTGCCTTTACGGTTTGTTGACTCGTGTATCTTACCTAATGTACTTTACTGTTCCTCTTCAGTCCTTCCTAGTCTACTGAAAACAGACTTTGTCACTCTGAGAGGGGTACCAAAGGTTGTTAGCAGGACAAGTAGTGTGTAACTTAGCCGGCTTGTCACTATATTCTTTGATAGACATACCAACTCATGCGAGAAATGGTTTAAATCTATATCGTCTGGCCCTCAACACCCCCTCTATTCTCAACTCTCTCCACACCTGTATTTCATCTGGTAGAACCTGAACCAGTACAAAAGATAACATGCTCGTAAGACCAAGTTTAGGAACTCC